TTTGATATAAAAAAAATACAGAGAGAACTTTCATAATTGCCTTGTAATGCCACGGCAACCCAGACCGAAATGTAATATATTGCTTATATATATAATAAAGGTGGTTTTGAAATATTTAAATAGATTGAAACAAGAACAATGAGGGAGAAATATTCAAATTAAATTAAGTGCTTGTACTTGAAATAAGACAATGCAATACACTTTTTAAAAATAAATAAAGAAATAATTAAATGCTCCAAAAATAAATAAACATACAATTTAATGCCCCCCAAAAATACAATAAACAAAAAAATGTAGATAGAAATTAAATTATAGAGTGGGACATAAATGTTTAAATCTCTTTTAATTAGCTTCTTTGTTTTTTCACCTTTGTTATAATTACCTTATTTATTGCCCATTATAATCTTCAATTTTATTTATTACTTATTTCTTTAAGTATTTATTTTTGTGCATGTTATAATATTTGTTTCTGGTTTATTATTCCTTTGTATTTTTTAATTATTATTTCTTCCATGCTATTTATTTCTGCCGGTTGTATTTACATTTCTGTCTGCATCTCTATAGAGTCAGTGAAAATTATTACCCAAATATGTTTTACAAACAGACGGTGGGGGAAATAGGTATTTGACCCCTTGCTGATTTTGCAGGTTTGCCCACTTACAAAGAATGCTACGATCTATAATTTTAATCATCTGTACATTCTAACAGTGAGAGACAGAATCCCAAAGAAAATTCCAGAAAATCACATCATATGAATTTATAAAAATTGAAACCATCTGATGAGGAAAAACAAGCATCCCTGGGGCCCAGGACCGGATTCACATCAGGCTGGCCGGCTGCCGGCGGAGCCCGCGGACTCGTCCCCGCAGCTCCTGGGGGCTCCGGCATGGCGGAGGCTGGGGGGCTTCCTCGGGGCTGTCTCTCCCTCCCTTGGTGGGGGTCTGATTTCCTGGGCTGGCCCCTCCTTGGTGCCTTCGCTCTTGGGGTCCCTTTGGGCGCCTGGGGCTTTGGGTCTCCCGGCGCTGGACTCAGTGCTCTGGGGGGGGCGGCTCTTCGGCTCTCCACAACCACTGTTGAGCATTTTCTCTATGGATAAACTTTACATGCACAAGTTCGCCCTCACAAACAACTACAGGTGCTTGGTTAAATATAAAAATAAAATAGATAAATAAAACCTCCGTCGTGGCTCAAAGTAGAAGAAAAGCTTAAGCATCATCTGTTTTGCTTTCTTAGAACATATGGCAGAGCAGACGGCCTGCTTATTTAAGCACACTGTGAGAGATCAGCAGTTATTCCACTAAACAAGCCTGTCTTGGTCATTTCTTCTTCAAAGCCAGAGACTGATCCAGAACTCTTCTGTAGGTGTTGATGTTGAATAACTCTTCCTTTGTCGTCCCCTCTAATCAGGTCCAGTGCAGAATAACTCCAGGAGACCGTTTATTGTGTCAAGGTGGAGACAGTTCTGGTACGCGCCTGTCACCTCCTTCCTGGGCAATGTGCTGATGTACTTCCTGTTCCTTTGCCTGTTCGCCTATGTTCTGCTGGTGGACTTCAAGCCTCCGCCCCCAGAGGGCCCGTCTTCTCTGGAGTTTGTGCTCTACTTCTGGGTCTTCACATTAGTATGTGAAGAGATCCGACAGGTTGGTTGTTTTCAAACTAGTATTTCTTCATAAGAGGTGGGAAACTCCAGCCATAGAGGAGTACAATCCTGCAACTTCTAGATGTGTCCCTATTTCCAAACACCAACCAAGTCAGAATCCTTTAAATCATTGATCCAGGTGTGCTGCAGGATACCGGCCCCTTTAGGGACCGGAGTTGCCCACCCCAGTTCTACAATGACACATGCAGGTTTTATTAAATACCTTTCTGTAAAATCCAGATATTGACACTTTCATTTTAACTTTGCACCATTTTCACACTTTACAAACAACAGACATCATTGCATTAATAAACAATCAGTATCATAAAGACAGACCAGGGAGAAAGCTCTAGTTTTAAAGGAGGGTTAGATTTTTGTCTTAAATCAGAAAAGAAGCCATTTGTCAGGCCACTGCAGATATACTAGCATCCGTTAGCATCTGAGCTCCTTCTGACCTCCTTCTGCTCTTTCTATTGGTTCAGAAGTTGGCATGGTAACAACAAGTTAATATTGATATATTTAATCCCAACCCTAAATTTTAGATGCATCTCTTCTATAACACACCTGAATCTATANGCCCTGTTGGTGAGGAAGCTCCTAATCTGTTATCAGGCAGAACTGGGTCCTGGTTTAACTTCTATCAGCACCTCAGTCATGATCCGTTTGTTTGCTAGCTTTGTCATTTAGGGGTTTCCTCACAAGGAATATCATTTCAGTTCTGCTGATGGATTTAAAAGATGAAGAGATGTTTTGTTTGTGTTCAGGGAACCAGAGGAGGAGATAAATCCTTTGGCAGTCCAGCATATCAGAGAAAGTGACAGCATTGAGGGGAACGATGCCACCGTCCTCTCCCTCGCAGACATCGTTCATAAGTATTATCAAATATTTCACTAATCAAATTATCCCATTTATTGACTTTGTTCCTATTTTAACAATACTCCGCCCCCTGCTTGTTGTTACAAACAGTGAAGAAGAGTTGGAAGAACTGAAGACTTTGAAAGAAAAGTTGAAAGGTATGTTTGGATGTTCTCTCTGGTGGAATGTAAACTGGTTCCAGGAAGTGTGGCTGCTGGTTTTTCTTCCAACCAGCTCACCAGAATCCAGTTATCCCATCACGTGAGTTTTGTATTAACTTGATGACTTGATGATTGACTGGAGTCTGGTGCGCTATTGCTTGGTTGGAAAGAAAACCAGTAGCCTCACAGCCCTTTCTGGGACCAGTTTGACACTTGTGTTAGAGTGAGAAAAATATCAAAGGCCCTTTTCTGAACACCATCAGATGAAATGTGAATATAGTGTCTTACCCAAGGACCCAATGACTGATGCAGGATGAACTCCTGTAAACTACGCTGCTGTTGCCCAGCTGTCATTCAGCCTTTCAACTGTTTCTACCTGTTGTGTAAAAGCCATATATTAAAGGCCCATCCCATATGTTGAATGGAGCCTAGGCTGAAGTTCAACTGAAGAAACTGATTGCTGTCTTACATCCACCTGCGACACAACCAATCAGCTTTAAACCACACCTCCACCAAAGCTAATCGGCATCCAAAGCTCATCTTAAAAGGCCTCCGATATGCACTTGGTGCACTAGATGTGCTGTGGCTTCATTCAGATGACTCCACTCCACCTGGCCTGGGGGGGAAACAGCCCTGTTCTTTGCTCTGTTCATTCATATCTTTCAAAATTGAGCGCTTTGGTTCCTGCCGTGGTCTGAGCGCCAAAGACAAAGTAATTGTATCAACATTTTTCTCTTAATTGTCTTTTCTCTTCATGTGAGTTTTTCAGATTGAAATGTGCATTTAAAAATATTTCATCAGATAATATTGGACTGTCATACATTTTTCTGTGAACACACGTCGACTGTTAGAACAACAGATGAAAGTGTGAATTAAGCTTAAACTTTGCAAATAGTAGAGGTTAAGAATGTCTGAGCAACAGTAGCAGTGGATGCATTAGATTGTCCTGCACCAAAGGGTTGTCTGTTCAAGTCCCAACTTCAGCCTTCTGGCAAACAGTGAGTTTCTAGCAGCTATCTTAGATTTAGTCTTATTTATTCTTTAGAGTTAGATTATTATTTTTAGTCACAGTTTAGTCATTACTATATGTGATAGTTTTACTCAGTTTTATGTTGCTCTTCAAAGAACAGTGAACCTTTATAATTTGGAATAACAACCAGATTCTTTCCCAGACTGGCAGCTCTATCCTAGATGCTACAATAGCTGGTACAGAATGCTGCAGTGCAATTCATCATTGCTGTTGGACAGAGAAATTTGGTTTATAGAATTCAAATAGACTTTTTTTAACATCCTACCTTATAAAAAAGTGTCTATGAAAATAGCAGATCTAGTTCAACACATCCTATTGGTTAATCTAGCAGACAGACAAGCTAACAAAATGTCCAATAAAGGAATGATTTTATCATCCAACATTTCCATCCCAAAGCAAACACTTCCTGATCTACTATGAATTCTGCATTAAACACAGATCTATAAAATCTGCATTAGTCCAAATAAGCAAAGAACAAAAACCTTCTTCTTTCTACTTTGGTGATTTTAGAGTTATTTCTGAGAATTAACCCGTTGCTTCCTGCTGCTAAGGGGTCACAGTAGATTTAAATTCACAAGCTTTGATATAAAAAAATACAGAGAG